TGAAAACAATTTTAAAACTAAATATAATTTTTTCCGGGTGGCCGGGGGTCTAAGGCACTGCATCGCAGTGCTAACTGTGCCACTAGAGATCTTGGTTCGAATCCAGTCTCTGTCGCAACCGGCCGCGACCGGGAGACTCATGGGCTCATTCCCACGGGGGGCCAGTATAAAATAAAATAAAAAGATGTATTCACTAACTGTAAGTCGCTCTGGATAAGAGCGTCTGCTAAATGACTAAAATGTGAATGTAATAATATTGCAGTGTAGGCGCAGTTTATATTTTGGCCACTAGATGGCAGCAGTGTGTGTGTACAAAGTTTCAGATTGATCCAGTGAAGTGTTGCAATACTGGACTATTTTGTATAAAGTCTGGCCAAATGTGTCGAATTGGTCAATTTTACATTTTAGTCATTTAGCAGACACTCTTATCCAGATATATTTTTTTTATATACTGGCCCCCCGTGGGAATCAAACCCACAACCCTGGCGTTGCAAACACCATGCTCTATCAACAGAGCTACATCCCTGCCGGCCACTCCCTCCCCTACCCTGGGCCAATTGTGCACCGCCCATGAGTCTCCCGGTCGCGGCCGGCTGCGACAGAGCCTGGATTCGAACCAGGATCTCTAGTGGCACAGTTAGCACTGCGATGCAGCGCCTTAGACCACTGCGCCACTCAGGAGACTCTTTTAGACAATTTTCAAGTACATAACTATAGAGAACATACAAAAATGATATGGTAATACAAAATGTAAGTTTACACACTCCCAGGAATGTCATACATGATGGATCATTAGCTTATACACTAATTTTCACACATCTAGATGGCCGGGCGGGGTGGGTGTGGAGCCAGAGACAGCAGGGGTTCAAACTGTAGAACCCAGTTCCTACATTTGAATATAAAAATATATTTTGTCAAACAAAACTATGCTACATTTTATCTCTGGGACCCTTAGGATGACAAATCAGAGCAAGATTACTGAATGTAAGTACATTATTTACCTTCAGAGGTGAATGTATCAAACCAGTTGCTGTGATAAGTTTTTTGTTGTTGTGCACTCTCCTCAAACAATGGCATGGTCTTTTTTTCACTGTAATAGCTACTGTAATTAGATTAACAAGAAGTTAAGCTTTCTGCTCATATAAGACATGTCTGTGTCCTGGAAAGTTTGCTGTTACTTACAACAGTCATGCTAATCACATTAGCGCATGTTAGCTCAACCCTCCCGTATATACGGGACACCGATCCCATAGAGGTTAAATCGAAAAAAGTAAGCAATTTGAATTTACGGTCTTCAAGAGATGTCTGTAAAATCTCCACGTTTCTGGCTTCTGTACTGCTGACCTTGATTGGCCTATTTTGAATTACTTGATGAGCCCAACATGTAAATATCTATATTTCCACATTGCCTCAAGTGAAATCTGCAATAGTTACTGCCGTTCAATAGTCACTTCAACTAATGATATTGTAGCAAACCTCTCTATACGAGCCACGTTACAATTCCTGTCAATTGCGTTAAACCTACTGGTGCAATGCTTATTGTGTCTGTCTTTCATGCAGGAGACCTGGGTTCGCTCCCTCTGTTCGGTACAACATATATTCCTGTAGATGAAAAAAAAAAATCATTTATACATGCCTTACAATATGAAGCCAGAGTGTATGTAGCAGGTGTATCATGAGGATATGGAAAACCTTCCTAAAACAGGACAAGAGTGTTATTTTGGTTCTAGATATTGCACACTTTTTACAAACACACACACACACAGTTTTAGATGAGGCACAGCCTATGAATAATAGATAGCTTTTTGTGTGGCAAAGAAAATTCAGCATATTTTATGTAGGTCATTTCAAAGTGTGCTGAAGACTCATTTTGAGGTACAGTATAGCACACACTGAACCGCTCGTCATCTGTGTTAAGCCAGGACCACTTTGAACGGACAAGGATATATATGATTGGTTTGGTTACGGTCAGGGCTAGGATCGAAATCAATTTCAATCCAGTTAACAACAACAAATTCTCATAGAGAAGCATTGATGAAAATTGGAATTGAAATGTGAATTTCCGTTCACTTCATGAATTGGCTGAATTATTAAAATGGAATTGACCCCAACCCTAGTTACGGTGCATT